ATCGTGTAGAATGCTTCATTTTTCCACCAGGAATACAACCACAAGGTCTCCACATTGGGAAGAAGAGGGCAATGGCACCACCATTGTAGGCAACATTACCGTCATCTTTCTTACGAGTCTAGATGCTTCACAAAGTGGCCTCCTCTCCATACACCAGCATCTTGTACAGCTTGCATTGGCATGGGGACTCCTTATACCCCAGCCGACTGGCAACAGTGTCTCTCAACTTTTCCATTCCCGTGTGCCACTGTGAATTTTTGATTGTCACTTGATCCGGTGCCAGTTGCCAACTTTTGCGGACATTTTCATCCATCATGGTGTCCAGTTTCCGTCCGAACGGTGATTTATCGCACTTGGCAATGAGTTTTTTCGCCTGTTCGTCGCATAATGGAAGAGCAATGCAACCCACGTCGTCGACAAAGAGTCCCGGGGAGACTGGGAGCGTCTCAGCTTGTCCTCCGAAGGAATATTCGCCCGCTGCAGCAGCAGCAGCCTTGTCGTCTTCAGGACCAATGATGTTGCTAATCTGAGCGCATACCGCACCCTTGGGGACCGGAATATCGTCGGGTTTGCCACTCACACCGAACGGCCACTTACCAGACTTGAAGATGTCGGCCTCTGTGGGCTCGGAGGCGTCGTAGTTGCCGTACTCCTCGTCGTCGAACCATATCATTATTGTAGCTTAAGTGGCGGGGTGGCAATTAGAAATTCATTTATTTGTGGCGGGAACTTTTCGGCTATTAAATAGTACAAACTGCAAAAACAAAGTATTTCGAAGTCGATAAAATCATTTTTAGAAACACGATTTCATCGACTTCGAAGTACTACTTTTTGTTAAAGCAGTACGATGTTCCCACACCTCACCTCGATCCAAGCACGCTTAAGCGCTGGCCCCTGCTCAGTGGCGGCTTCACCAAAGCGGTCTGTCAGACGCTTCAGCTCCGCTTTATGGGTCGCCACGTCCATCTGCTGCTTATTGAACCTAAGAGCGTCTCTGGTCCCCGAGAGCTCTTAAGCACTTCTTGGGTCTGCGTACGGCTTACCTGTGTAGTGGAGGCGAAAAGAGAATGCAAAGGGCAGACACTTGTAGTTAAGACACTTAAGACAGAGACGGAAGTGAGCACTGCTTCGGCGCTTTCATCTCCCAAATTGAAGACTTGTATTCTAGTGTGTCAAAGTCTAACTACTGTCCAACCGATCTTTACTGTACCCAACTTCGACAATCCGGTCAAATCTCAGCAGTCGTGGACGCTCTCCCGCAGCCAGTAACTCGACTTTTCAGACATACAAACATACAGCTTTGTGGAGCACCCCTCCAGAAAGCACATGCATCGGTCTATCACAGATACAGACGCCACACGTTCCGCGCATGCGCAGACGAAAGCAGTCAGCGCCTCCTGAGATCCCAGCAATCCGACGTCTCGCGGCATCCTCGCGATCCACGCATCCAGCGCCGTGAGAAGCTGGAAGCCTGCTGGAACTCGCTGGATCTCTCATACTCCCACTTCGCGGAGTACTGCGTTCCGTTCTGCGGTGTCCTCCAAATGCATAACATACACTTCCTTGTTTTTGTGATCCTTCCGACCACACTTTGATGTTCTCACATCCCTTGATGTTTACAATGCCGTGTAATCAAGCTTACGATGCCATCGATTCCCCGATATTTACGATGACCCGCACTCCACGTGTACGATGATGCCCTTGTGCAAAAGCATAGCTCTTCCGCTCAACGGCACACTTGTCGCTCACTTCTTTCGTGGGCGAGCTCGCAAGCTTTACAATTAGTCGACCTTCTCCAGCTCCGCCTGCATGTTCACCAATGCACTCCGCACATCTTCCATGCTGAGCTTTCTACGGGGATACTCGAAACGTTGTGGGCCAAAAGCTTTCGTCAAGATATCTGCCACCTTCTATGTGGTTGATACGTACTTGATCTTCACCACTCTGTCATCCACAAACTCAACGATCATCATCGCCTCCTTGGCGTAGCGCTGTACCCGCTTGCTGTTACCACGATTGACAATGCCCTGTATGGTACTCTGGTTATCACAATAGACAGTCGACATTCCCTGTTCACCAGATCCTCCACGCATGCCTGGTTACCTCCAGTTCCGATGCGCACGTGTTCTTCGTGACGCGTCTCTGCTGTTTGCTTTTCCACATCCACGTAAGTCCTTGTAGCTGAAGTACAAGCCCGTATTGGAGCGGTTAGTGTCGTGACACATCGCGTGGTCCGCATCTGAAAACGCATAAAGGGTCAGCTCCTCCCACTGGTCGAAAGACCACTCACCAATACTTAGTATTGAGTATGTATATCACAGCTCTCCGAGCCATTTTGAGGTATCCTTGGTGTATGCTCCATTGTAACGACCAAGAGCACGTGCTACACACGCCATATCCGGATGAGTGCAAGCTATTAAGTATTGGAGCGAGCCGATGACCTCCCGATAGGGTAGCTTGCTGCTGTTGATCTTAGATTTGTCTGCCTCCGTAGCTGGCATCCGTTCGTTGTGCTGCAGGGGAGATCTAACACATCTCATGTTCTGCATGTTGAAGCTAGCCGCCAACCTCTCTATGTACGCCGTCTGTGACAGAAACACAATCACACCTGGAATGCAGCTGATCTCGTAAATATTTCACTCTCCCCAACTCCTTGAGCTCTAGCTTAGCTTCCAGGTTCTTGCATCACAACTTGGGTGTCCATCGGTTTCGCTGCGATGACGATATCGTCCACATAGACAGTCAAGGAGATCATCCCATGTGCACCTTGACGATAGTACACACCAGCGTCGAATACACACTGGTTGAACTTCAAGCTCACCAGATACGCGTGCAGCGTATCGCTCCAGATCTTTGACGCTTGTTTTAGTCCATACATAGTCTACACACACGATTGCTCCCGTCGTCGTAGCCTTCTGGCTGTTCCATGTAGATGTCCACCTCAGTCAGCTCTCCATTAACAAAAGCGGTGACGAAAAATACATGTCTACAATCGATTCGTAGCATCAGTGTCAGGATAAGTACAAGTCGAACGGACTCGATACGTACAACCGGCGAATAAGTCGCTAAGTAGTCGATCCCATACTTCTGTAGGAAACCACGAATCGCAAGTCGTGCCTTGAGCCGCACAAGCTCTCCTCTTTCGTGTTTCTTCACCACCAGGACCCATACCGATGTGAGGATGTTCACCCTTTTTCCATTCGGTAGGTCTTGGTCGTGGAGCAAGTCCCACGTCGCGTTCTTTATCAAACTCTCGTATTCTACATCCATGGCCCGTCGCCACTTTAGCATAGTCCGATGTCAAAGCCCCCTGCATTTTTGTCGGATTCAGTAACTCGTTCACTATTCCAAATAGCATGCACTGCATGATGTTTGTCGCCATGACCCAATTAATTGGGTCTAACCGCCTATTCGGTCGTCTCTGCCGTTGGAAACAGCGCGTTGGTTGCGGTGGTTGCTGAATTGCTGGCTGTTGCTGCCGTGGACGTCCTGCCTGCTGTTGTGGTCCAGCTTGAACGGCTGACTGTGGTGGAATACCGGGAGCTGCTTGCTGTTGTGGTGGGACAGACGCC